CCTCTCTGCTGAGTTAACTGGAAGTAGTTAAATCTGAAGGGTAAAAGTCCTATGGTCTTCACTGTCTTCCAGTTCAGTCCAAGGTATAGTTCAACAGCCTGATCTTTGTATCCAGGTTTCTAAACAAGCCAGTACTGTGTTGTCTCAAAGACTGCTTTTCTTTCAGCTACTTTCCAGAGAAGCAGGAAGATCAACAGAGCCTAGGTTCAAACTAGAATCAGCCAGCTACAGGGTGCTCTATGTGAAGTGAACTCAGGTATAGTATACATTACCATGAGGTACATGGTCCCACTAAATTCTGAAATCATCTTGAAAATTTTGCCTCTGATATTTCTTGGAGTTGAAGTGTGGCTACAGCAAGTTATACTTGGAGCAAATCAGCTATACCCAGTTACTCATAAATGAGGGGTTTCGGAAGAGGAGACAGCCTCTAAAGGAACAATGGTACAGTTCAAAATGGACTGTGGACACTTGTTTCCTAAATATGGATGTGATGATATTTCTAAAAATGGCGCACACTATTTATTTGACCATTCTTATTTCAGGAAATGAAATGGCTAGAGAGATTATTTTGCATTTGGCAGTCAGAAAGCAGCAACCTGAATAAGCAGAACCTGGTTAAGGTGATCACATATTGGGCTGTCTATTAATACCCCACTACACAATGAAAATGAATGCCTGCAGAGGGAAATTTATTAGCTGGTGTGCTGCCATTCTCACAAAGAGAGAGTCAATGACTCCACAATGAGAATCTCCATGACAATAGTAGTTTACTGTTACTTATGGTCCCAATTCAGCAGGGTGCACTTGCAAAGTCCCATTGAGCACTACATGATTAAACACCTACTTAGGTTTGTTGATGAACTAGGACATGAACACTCAGTATTTGCATTTATGAAATGTATTTCAAATGTGCTGCTATCAAACACCCATTAAATACAAATGGCCTGATCTGAGGAAACCCTGCTTTGAATCCAGCAGGATTTGAGGGCACAGACCATGGGAGAGATTGCACAAAGGAAGGATTAAAAAACAGTACCTTACAGTTATACATCTCTCTGTCAGCCCAAAGGATTTCATAAGCTACAATTTATGAAGAAAGCTGTCACCTACCTTTAGGACAAAACATCAGCTGTTCAGTAGGAAGCAGCAATACTACACAATAGTTTAGGAGAGGAAGTGAAGAGATGACAGTAACCAATTGCAACTCTAGGGAGGGACAATACTTTTTAACCCAATTAAGAATTTAATCACAATAAAGCTAATTATCTACACCTTTGCAAAAATGCCACAGGTCATGAGACCAACATCTGCACTCTGGAGAACAGAAGTATAGCAAAATCTGCAAGTAGCCTAAGGAGAAGCATGCAAGGAAGAGGCACAGCTTGCTTTTCCTTTGAGCTAGAGAAGAAGAAAGGAAAATAAAACCCTCACATAGCTTATGTTTCATCCAGCAACTGCAGAGATGTCCCTGCTGTGAACTGATAACTGAGAACAATAATAGATGTAGACTGACTTTATCAGCTAAGCAAAGTTATAATAAATGTAGACTGACTCTATCAACTAAGCAAAGTTATTTACTTCTTGGAAAATAACATCATCAGCTCAGCTAAGAAATGGGTCAAAATGGAACCAGCTCAGTAAAAAGAAAAACTGTCTCCAGACTGTGTCTAAACCTGATACGGTTTAGAAAACCATATCCCATTTAAACTGTTCTGCTAAACCAAAGCCAGGTATCCTCATTTCATCTCTGATGCAGATATTTCTAGCTATACTGCCTGTTAATTGTGTGAATGGAAAAAAATGCCTGCTGTATACTATTCAGGTTGTAACTTGTTATTCACAAACTTTAAAGAGATGTTTTTTATTTATATGATTATTTTACAGATACACCATTATACATATTATATTTTACATGGATTTTTGGCATGAAAAAATAGGCCTAGTCTTGGTCTTGTTTTACATTGTTGAATGAGGCACATAAGCAGATGGTCTTAACTTGGATGCAGACTCACACAACTCATTCCAGGGAAGGGGAGGGACTGAACAGAAAAAGAGCTGTAACCATCCTGCAGTTTTATAGAAGGGAATCCCTATATGTGAGTTACTTGAAGCTACTTCACCCCAAGTAGCCATGAGGATACATACTATGGCCCTCCTTCTCTGCTTCACATACAGGGGGGTCTTCAGGTTGTAGGAATTGCTTTAAGGCACTAGGGAGCAGGAAGAGGTATAAAAGGACTGGATTTTTTTAACCCCCTTCCCCCCAAAAAACAAACAGCAAACCAAAAAATGTTGTTTCCAAAGAGTAGAAAAGCAGAGAATGAAGTAACTCTCCTTATTCATTTGGCACATGCATCTCTTGCAGACTCAGTGGCATGAAAATAATGTCCTTGACTGGACTACTGGAAAGAGTTAATAAAAGTAATGGACAAAAGACTGAAATTATGGATAACGACAGGAAAGGAGTAAAAGGAAAGCATTATCTTACCATGGAAACTGCTGGTGCTGCATATAGATAAGAGTCTGTCAGCATTTCCTTTTTAAATCCCCTATTTACAGGGATTTATAACTCAGCTGTGGAAAGTCACTCCAGGCTGAACCATGGCTTATAAGGTCTCAGGAAATAAGCTTCCCCCTACCCAAAAATTAAACCAGTTTAACTGTTTCATCCTTAAATACTACAGATATTAACTCTTTAAGAGCTCCATGAATAGCTACTAGAAAGTAAGATGACACATTCTGAGTTGTAGACACTTAGCTGAAGCATTTTTTTCCAAATAACTCCTGATCTTTATAGATAGTTTACAAGTTCAAAATCTGAAGTTTCCTTCTTTTTGAGCGAACAGATGGAGACAAGCTGCAAGAGATGGACTCCACCTGCAAATATTTTGATTGCAGGAGTATAACTAAAGTTGCCTGTAAATAACCTTAGGCTTCCCACTGAAGGGGTGAATGGGGCCTGTCCAGGTCCCAGAATAAGGGTATGGACAGGTGTTCATTTGTAGTGTCTCAGCACTCTGTACTACCACAAAAATATAGTGCTATGGGGGCATAAATACATTCCAGCCCCCTGGGTTGACAGCAATATATTCACCTCAAAGGTGAGCTCTCCAGCATGGGGACTATAGAGGGATGCTTCTTAGGTCCCCTTTCCACCATGGGACCCTGATCACTGACAGCCTACTCTCTCCCCTTCTGGGGAAGCGAGGAGGTCATCAGTGGCGAGCTGGCAGCTGCTAAAAAGCAGTCCCAGTAGCACCACCACTGCTGCCAGAGCCCTAGCTCTTCCCAGGGCTCTGGGAACAGGAATTCACTAACCCTCTCCCCCACACTCCCACCCACCACTTGTGCACTCTACCAATCAGCTGATCAGCAGAGCCAGGCAACTCTGGTTTTGTTGCACTTGCAGAGCTCTAGCCACCTCTTCCTAATGGTGGAAAATTGCTGCCACTATTTTAAGATCTCTGGCTTACCCTGCTCCCTGAAAACTCACTGCTAGGTAGGCTAGCAAGGAGCCAGTTGCACTCCCTCTTCCTTATTTCTTCCTCCAATGTGTACTTCACAGACATTACATATAGCACTGCAAGACACAGCCCTACCAAGAAGTTCTTCTTTGAAAAAGCAATATTTTGTATGATTTTCACCCTCTTTCTAGTGGTATAAAAATATTGAATGGCTGTACACTCAATTTTTGTATTGCTACAAGGGTGTATTTAGCACTAGAAAGGTAACATCTGTCTATGGCCTAAATTAGCTTGAAAGTTGCTGCTATTTTCTCCCAGATGCCTAAACCAGAGGCCAGTTCTGACACCTAAGGATTGCTGGGGCATGGTAGTTTCCAGAACATACCATAATGCCACAGAAAGAGGGAAAATGAAGCAAAATGCAAAAGCCACTGAAGTGCCCAAGCCACCCAGAGCTCTCCGTCTCCTGGAATGTCCATAGGACCCCAGATCTGCTTGCTTTCTAACGTCACCATCAGATCCATGTGCAACAGCCCTGAAACAGAAACAATATCTAACCCAGAGTGTTGTCTCTGTTCCTTGGTTGGATGAAAACAACATTTAGAATCAGGTTTTGCTTTCCAGTGGTCAGAATCACAAGTCTGAAACGTGGTGTTTGCAAATATTAGGACCTGACAAATAAAGGTGTTGCCTACAAAAGCTTATGCCTCTGAATGCATGAGTCTTTAAATGTACCAACCTGCCCTGCATTCTGTCTGACCTCAGATTGAAACAACTAACTACCTTTTCTCTGCAAATATTTTGCAATACTTGTTTAAAATGTGACTATTTTTTGCAGAAACACTTGCCAATGAACTTCTTAGCTAGATTATTTATAGAGAATGCACAAAAAAAGCTATTACAGTAATTTTTTATTTTTGCAAATATGTCAGTTATATCAGATTTCCCATTAGATTCCTCCTCCCTTTTCCTTACTTTTTGGAAACATACAGATTTTGCATTTTAGAACTGGAAGGAATGCTAAGGGTCATCTGGTTCAACCCTCAAAGAGCATGTGATCAAAACCATGACTTTGGAAATATTAGCACCACAATTTAACCAGCACACCTCAAAATGTGCAACAAGGATGAGATTCCATCCCATACAAGCACAGCCAATGGATAAGCAGCCCATCTCCTTCAGCACTTGACCACTTTGTCTTTCTTTGTACTATTGCACCACAGTTTGTGGAAAAGTAATTATTTGTAGCAAAAACAACAGTATATTCACAAGAAAATACTCACTGCAGATTTTATGGCACATCCACTCAAGGCATGATTGTATCAAGGGAAAACCAGATATAGAATTTGCCCTACAGCTAGCAAGTTGGGTTTATTATAAACTTTCCACCAATAAGGATAAAACTTCTTTCTCTCTCATTTTTTTATATCTTAAAAAATATGGAGTCAGGCAGGCATAATATTTAAAGCAGCAATTTTTCTATTGTTTAGAAATCTAATCACTTATCAACATTTATATGAGTGAAAAACTTACCATTTGATATCAAGAAGATTTTGAAGGGAAATTTGTATTCTTAAAGCCATAAAATAAAATGCAGTAACATAAAAAAACAACTCTACTGACATCCAGATTATAAGAGAAAGGGAAAAGTGCTTTTATCCTGGATTGGAAGAAGTGAACTTTCCATGAGCAGTTCCAATCCCAAATTCAGTTCAAACCTGTCCTTTTGAACCATCCAGCTGTAGTGCAAGAGGTGTTCATTTCTTGATGGAGATATGCCAAGGCATATGGAACCAAGAACCATTACTTTATGTAATACATGATTTGGCACACAGCAATTTTGAACATGTCAGAGCAATTAGAAAAAGAGAGAAAAACTGTATTGAACTGGCAGATGTCACTGGTTCACTGCCTGTGCTAGCCAGGGTTTGTTCTCGGAATGCAAGCTCAGGGATCAAAGTCTTGCTACTGGCTGTGTGAGCCACAGCACAGTAAAATGCAGAGAGAAGCCAACATACAATGGAAAAAGCATGGAGAGACATTTTTAGACTTTTGAAAATCTTTAAGCTTTTGTTAGATATGCTTCTCATGCTTGTTTTCTTCTTGATTCTGTGTTCTAAGTAATGGAAAACATAAGGTATAAGTCACCTATTTTTTAAAATTCTCTTCATGTTCCTATGTTACTGTCTTGGAGTATTTGTATTGTAGGTTTCACCACAAATTATAAAGGTATTAAAATGGAAAAATATCATGTATTACACAGGCACATTTATGTCATGTTTCTGAGTATAAATTCCTTATTATTTTCACAATTTACTTGTTGCAACATACCTGGGATCCTATATCTATTTGTCAAAGCTCTCATGTTGAGACCTGCCTTCAAGTACAAAGTCCCTTGATGCTTATTAGAGTACAGCTTAGTCTCAGTACCTAGAAACAACAGAAAGTTAGAATTTTAGTTCAAAATTTGATTTGTGTTATATATCTATATAAATATTCATCATAATTTAAAAAGAAAATAAAACCACAACTCATTCTACTCGTTACTTTATGCATTACAAATGATAAATTACATGCATTTATAATGATATAACCTAGTCAACATATTATGGTCTAGAACACAGAATGCTACAAAATTTCTAGAATTCTGATTGGCAGCATATCTATTTTTATTGCAATTCATAAAATGAAAATAAATTGCGCAATACTATGATTGATTTTGCATGTGCATAAGTTTTAAAGTAAGAATAGCACTATTCCTCAAGAGTAACTAAGATACTATATACAGCATTGGTTTATCCAACTTTACAAGTACATAATTAGCCCTTCAGGGACTACAGCATAGTGTAACATAAAATAGCTTCAATGACAGATGAAATCAGTACGGCTAGACAAAAACTGTCAATTATTTAGTAAGACTTTTGTTTAATTTTTAACAATTATCTTGTCCTCCCAACCCCTTTTTCAGTGAAAAATGGAAAACAATACATGAACATTTCTCAGTAGCCATTTTTTTAAAACTAAAATTATACTTCTTGTCTTTCAGACCTCTCCCTGCAAAAGGAATATTTGAAGAAAACTGAGCATTTTCCATGTAAAATGTAACTCATGTTGAAAAGCCAGTTTTCCGCAAATACATATTCCACTAAAAAGGAATAAAATTTTAGTAATCTGTGGATGTGTCTACACGAGATGTTTTACTGTGCAGTAGAGCTACTTACATCACCATCTACACGTGTTGACACTTACTGCACAGTAATTTCCTCTACTCGGCAGTTAATTTTGCAACCTGCAAACACAAGTAGCAAAGTAACGGCCAAATACTGCACAGTGAAGCATGTATAGACGGCCGACCAGGAGATAGCCGGCCAAATAGCAGGAAGCGGGAGATAGCTCCCAGCCCCAAGGAGCTGCCTGTTGCCAGGACAGGCTCCACCACTGGAGCCCAGGTGGGGACAATGTCCCCTTGCCCAGCAGCAGGGAGCTCCCAGCTCCAGCTCTGTGATTGCAGAACGGGAGCTGGGGAGATAGTTCCCAGACCCCACTCCATGATTACAGAGTGGGGACTGGGAGCTCCCTGCACAGAGAAAGTTTCCCACCCAGCCTGGAGCTGGCTGGGACCTGCCCCTGATCAGGATAGTTCCTGGCCAGCCCTGGTCTGTGTGGAGAAGTCTGCACATGCAGTCTGGAGGTGGCTGAGGACTGTCCCATTTTGCATAGTCCCCAGCCAGCTCTGGGCTGCATGTGCAGACTTCCCTGTGCAGTCTGAGGCTGGCTGGGAACTGTTCTGGTCAGGGCCAGATCCTAGCCCCATGCCTTGATCAGGGCAGCTAGGAGGGAGCCCCCAGCTGGGCAGGGATTTCCTGCCTATCTGGGGACTTGCTGCCAGCTTCCCCACTGGCAGATTGGGGCAGAGGGCTAGGACCTGCTCCTCCCCTGCAGCTCTTTCCAAGCCCCCTGCCTTTGATGGGGAGCCGGGGCTGGGAGCTCCCTGCTGCTGGGTCAGAGGGATATTGTCATTGCATGGGCTCCACCACTGGATCCCACCCTAGCAGCAGGCAGCTCCTGGAGACAGGGAGCAATCTCCCAGACCCCACCAGGAGACAGCTGTCTCTTGGACCCATGCTCTCTACCCCAGAGCTCCCCTGGCTGTTGCAGGGGGCTGGAGGAGGTGGGAGCAGACTGCTGCCAGGAGTCCTGGCACATATAGCATCCTGCCTGGGTGGGTTTATTCTAGAGTAAATTGCTCTAGAGTAAACCCACCCTGCAGCATTTGCATGTGTAGATGCACCCAGTGTTTATTTGTCAATAGAAAAAATAGAAGATTTCAGCAGGTTAAATATTCTGTCATAACTCATAACTATAAATAAGACTATAAATAAGATAATTGCAGTCTTTGAATTCAGTGAGCTGAGAATGTTTGGGAGTTACTTGTTGTCCTGAATGCTGCTGTGGCTGTCTGAGAATGGAATCAAAGATGATTTGGTGGAGCTGTAAAGTATGTGGGATTGCAATGAGGAATGAAGGATGCTATGGTATTAGGAGTTAATGGCCATGTCTATTACAACCAATGCCCAGGAAAAAGCCAACTTACTAAATGGGTACTTTCCATTGGTCTTTCACCAGTCCCATGGGACAGGGAGGCCCGGGTGAGGGTGATTCCTTACCCTATAGATTTCATAGACATCAGGGCTGGAAGGGACCTCGGAAGATCATCGAGTCCAGCCCCCTGCCCAAAGGGCAGGAAGTCAGCCGGGTTCATAGGATCCCAGCAAGATGAGCATCCAGTTTGCTCTTGAATGTACCATGGCAATGTGTCAGAGGGACCACAGACCTGCTGGCCTCCTGGGTGTAGGATACCTCCTGGCCTGGAAAAAGCAGCACACACTTCACCAGCTGCAGAATATGAGGCTCATTCATCTGGGGTATCCCACAGCAGCAGACAGGAAGTAATCCAGGCACCCATGGGATGGAGAGAAAGAATGATCAGAACCTGAGATGCATGCAGATCCCCTGCAGTGAGATGGAAAAGTGAGCAAGCAAGTGGGAAAGAAACAATGGAGAGCAAAGAACGGGATCAGAGGAAAGTACAAAAAAAGCTGGAGGGAAGGGAAGGAAATCATCACAGACAGGGGATAGGCATCACCCACTGGTCACACTGACCCTTTATTTAGTTAGTCTATAAAGATACACGTATACCCTGCTTTCATCCTGAATCTGCCAAACAAGCAACATGGGCCTGCCTGACTCCTCTACCCCATCTTTCCACATGTGCCTCACTGTTGCAGTTAAGGGAAGCCAGGCAAGCCAGAGATAAGCCTATTACCTCCACCTGCCACCCCTTCCCTCACCCACTCAGTTTGCAGGAGCCAAAGGAGACAGGCATGCTTTATTCCAGAACATCTTGTAAAGCCAATGGAGCCGGAGCTGGAGTTGAAGCTGGGAGCTCCATGTCCCGCTGAGGACTGAGGGTGTAAGTGCTAGTCCCTGGCTGGATGGGAGGTGTCAAGATCTGAAGGGGAGGTATGAGCACAGGGCTCTCTGCATAGTGAGGCAGCTGTCTGGGGCTTGCCCCAGGAAACTTCCCACCCAGAAATGTCAGCTGTTTTCTTCCCTGCTCGGTTACAGGTTCAAAGGCACTGGAGGAACAGGTGCTCTTGCTAAGGATCTGGAGCAGCTCCATGTATTTATGATTCAGGCAAGGGCAAGGTGTTGAGAGGGAAGGGTCAAAGAGGGGTGAATGTTGTCTTACACCACCCCCCCCAGAAGAGCTGGCCCTTGCTGAACTGGCATCAGCAAGCAGCAGCAGGATGTGAATTCCAGGCTTTGCGCTGGCGGCCCCTGACTGGAGATGGTTGGGAATTTTATGACAAAATGTTTTTCCATTGGGAAATGCCAGCTTCTTTGCATGAGGAGCACCTGAGGTGGGGGATGGGTCAGACCAATTGCCCCATTTGAAAACATTTTGAAATGGTCCAAGGAAGTCACGTTGCCATCTCCTAAACAAATCCGCTCCTCTGCTCTTTGGCTCTGAATGACTTCTCATTTTATACTTTTACTCTTTCTTTTAGAAAAAAAATAGGTTTAAAATAGTCAGCTTGCAAATGACTTGATCCTAATTTTCCTCTGATTATCTGTTCACAGCATTTTTCAAGAGTTTGCCTTTGGATCCCAGTTCAGCAAGGGAGGACCCTTAAGCTGTATCTGTTCCTTTCTCAGATCTGAGGAAAGGACTTTGAGCCCCAAAGCTTGTCTAATACCTCTCCTAATTATATAGCTGGTCCAATAGCTCGTGAAGGTACACCTTGAGAGGTTGGATACCTTCTAGTCAGCCGGCCCTGACAGTTTACACCCAAGGGTACTCAAGAAGCTGGCTAGTATCATAGCTCAGCCCCTGGCATGGATCTTCGAGAACTCCTGGTGCTCTGGTGAATTGCATGAAGATTGGAAGCAGGCCAATGTGGTGCCTATCTTCAAGAAGGGGAGGAGAGTGGATCTGGCAAACTACAGGCCCATCAGCCTGATCTCTATCCTGGGGAAGGTCTTAGAAAAGATTAT